AGAGATATCCCACTGTTTTAGAATCTTGGGCTTTTTAACCTCTAGATTTCTAGAACCGGATGAAGATTATTTAGTCATCGGACCGCCTCTGGATCTTAAGTATATCAGAGAAAACAAGCTGAGCTAGACTTAAGCAGCCAGCTCGACTCGGCAAGCCCCTCCGGTACGTCCTTCTGTCTGTCCAACAGCGTGGGAAAAGACAGTGATTTTTAAGGTGGAACTGCTTATATTCAGTGCTGTTTTACAGGTGGAACTGCTTTATTCAGTGTGTTTAGTGGTTTTAATCAGCCAGGTCCCTGTTTGTTTTGGAGAGGAGAGAACCTCTGTGGATAATTGGCTCACCGGTAAGAAACCTCACCTGAACCATGAACACTGAAGGAATCCCTAACCCGGGAGAAGCTGACCCCTGCAATGACACCAAAATGGTTGTAGAAGAACAAGACAACAACTCCCATGATGCCACGCTGCTTCACCACATCACCAATTTCATCTTTTGTTATTGTTTGGATGTGAGAGACCCCCTAGTGGCAGAAATTACATATTGCATGTAAAACGTGGTTCTAATTGCAGTTTTAAAGAGTTAATTTATTATTGTGTCATTTTTTCTAAAAAAACATTCTTTGGCAGCCACTCGAAGAGTCACTGAGGTTGCCCTCATGTAAAATAATGTCAAGACACAAACACAGGCCCTTAGTCTTGATTATTTTAATTAAAGTTTTTTCTTCACTCTGACTTCTCCATGTTTGTGTATGGTCAGATTCTTTTACGTGAATGTGCTCACAGCGGGTGTTGGGGTTACCACGTAGTACAGGCCTCTGTTAACTTCAGATAAAAACCCTGAGTTAACTTATTAAACTTCTTATTTAAGTCATTTTTTAACACATTAAACTCTGACTGAATGTATCTGGTCAGACAGTTGAACAGAATCAGAGAAGGAAAGAAAGCACTTGTTGGCTGTTAAGGTGGAATGGCTGTTAAGGTGGAAAGTAGTAGAAACGGTTCCAGTAAAGGCAGAGTGGTGAGAGCATTGGAGTTCCAAAATCCCCAAATCCACAGAAAAGGAAACTGATCCGGAGTCATGTGCTGCCTGTAAAGACAGGAAGTAATCAACCTTTATTTATATGGACTACATATAAATAAGTGTATGTATCAATAAACATACACTGACATCAGAAAACATCATTCCCAAACCTTCAGGATGGAGCCAAAACATCTGCTCTCTGCTGTGGTTGATGATGTTCCCATGTTGTTGTTGTTGTTGTTGTTATGACTCACCTGTACCTTACTTGCTGTGGCTCTGATGGGGTTGTGGTTGCTGTGGTTGCTGCCGGGAGGAGTGATGACGTGGACTGGACGTTGCGCCTCCTCCTCGGACGGTTGGCCTGATGGATGCAGAGGGGGACGGGTGCTGATGATGCTGATGTCCTGCTCTGATTGGTTTGGCTACACAGATATAGATGACAGATGAGTCAGTAGTTGAGCCAGTCCGACACATCAGATCCTCAAAGGATCAGAACAACTCATCTGGACCTCCTGAACTTCCTCCAGCACCACCATCAGGACAAAACCTTACACTGATTTCATCCCAGCTCCTCAGAGGACGTTCATCATTGTGTACTGTAACCAACATTTTCTCACCTATCTGAGCAAAGTGTCCTCTCCTGGAGACGTTCTTGGACCGGACAGCCTCTTTGATTCGGTCCACTTCCTGTTGGTAGCGTTTGCGGTCCCTCACGGCCGACTCCTTGGCATCTCTCAGAGCGGCTTCCAGAGCCTTCACTCGCTCTGCTGTGGCCCGCAGACGCTTCTCCAGCTTTGGCAGCTCACAGCGAAGGTCAGCATTGTCCCGCACCAGCTGGAAAACACAAAGGGTTCAATTCACTGAGGTTTCAGTCTGTTAGCATGATAATGTTATGTTAAGAGAAGATATAGATTAACAGGTGAGCATCAGTATCTATGGTGGACTGACCTGTTTGTGGACCTTGCTGAGCTGCTCAAGGTTGTTTTCTAAGAAAATGATCCTCTGTCTCTGAGCCAGACTTCCCCCGGCCTCGTCGCAGTCGTTCTCTGAACTCTTGTTAAAGAAGAAACAACGCTGATATTCGGGTTTACAACTGACTGACATCCTTCAAACATTTTACGAAGACACAGAATGATCCTTAAATAAACATCTCGGGCGCCCGGTTAGCTCAGT